AAATAACTCTCCCCACAGCTTTGCTTCAGAACTCTCTTCTTTCCTTATTATTTTTAAAAAATATATTTTATTGATTTTTTACAGAGAGAAAGGGGGAAGGGAGAAGAATAGAGAGCCAGAAACATCGATGAAAGAGAGACAACAACCAGCTGCCTCCTGCACATCCCCCACCAGGGATGTGCCTGCAGCCAATGTACATGCCCTTGACCAGAATTGAACCCAGGACCCTTCAGTCAGCAGGCTGATGCTCGATCCACTGAGCCAAACCGGTTTTGGCTTTCCTTATTCTTGTTTCTGCAAAGACCCATGTAGTCTGAATCCCTGGGATTGTGTGGGTTTAGGGAAGGAGAAAGATCAAGGGGCACAGACTTCCTAATTGGCTCTGGAGATGGGAGAGGGGGTGTGGGGGCTCTTAGTCCCTTTTGGGAGCTGCTGGAGGGAGGGCAGGGTTCCAGGAAGAGTTTGGAGATCTATAACGACTCATTGCCCTGCAGCCCTTCCTCAGCATTTTTCTCCTGTGAATACCAAGGGGGCATTTAGTAGAGTGCTCCCTCCTCCCCATCCCCCTCCCTCCTCACGGTGGTCCTCACAGAAGAAGGAGGAATCTCACCCTCACCCCGGGACCCCCTAAATGCACAGAAGACATTTATTCTGTCTTTTCCAAGTGACCCTGGATTCAGGGCAGAGACAGCCAGCCGCTGGAGGCCATCCCCAGGCCTGCGTTAGCCGGTCCCGGCCTCATCTCTCCAGATCGAGGCTGTCCCTTTGCATGCTCCTTGCCAGGTGAAGGAAAGGACAGGTCGTTTTCCTGAGGGTTCTTGTAGAAGAAGCTGGGGTTTGGGGATGTATGCAAAGTCTAAGACAAAGGCCTGCTTTCAAAGAGCTCACAGTCTGGTGAAAAGGGTAAAACACACAGTTTTCAGCCCAACTGCTCGAAACAAAGCCTCAGCGTTAGCCTTGCTTCCCCTTCCTGTCATCCCCATTGTTCACCTCACAGTATTTTCAAAGTAGATCCTGAGCCCAGCCTCTCCTCTCCGTCTGCAAACCTGCCGACCCACCCGGTCCAAGCCAGCCAGGCTCTCCACCTGGAGGCTGCAAAGCCTTCCTCACTGTAATCTTGCGTCTCAGGGTGATTTTCTTTTCTTTTTTTTTTTTTTTTTTTTAATATATATTTTATTGATTTTGTACAGAGAGGAAGGGAGAGAGATACAGAGTTAGAAACATCGATGAGAGAGAGTCATCGATCAGCTGCCTCTTGCACACCCCCTACTGGGGATATGCCCGCAACCAAGGTACATGCCCTTGACCGGAATCAAACCTAGGACCTTGCAGTCCCCAAGCCGACGCTCTATCCATTGAGCCAAACCGGTTTCAGCTCAGGGTGATTTTCATTATGTTTAGTCACGTCACTCCCCTGCTTAAAACGCTGGAATTGCTTCTGTGATGGTTGGATTAAAATCCAAATACACCCTTTGGCCCTCAAGGACCTGTATGATTTGGTTCCTGTCTACCTCTCGGGTCTCTGGTTCTCTTTCCCTCCCTCTCTCTCTCTCTCTCTGTCTGTCTCTGGGGATCGAATCTGAAACCTTGGCATATCAGGACGACGCTCTAACCAACTGAACTACCCAGCCAGGGCCTAAAACTGGATCTTGAGAAAATTAACTCGGAGTCTGCTGCTGAAAGGACTGAAGCAGGGCCAGCGCCATAACTTTCAGGACCCACTGCGAAATGAAAATGCGGGATCCCTTGTTCAAAAAGCAGGAAAGGCCGAAACCAGTTTGGCTCAATGGATAGAGCGTCAGCCTGCAGACTGAAAGGTCCCAGGATTGATTCCGGTCAAGGGCATGTACCTTGGCTGCGGGCACATCATGGTGTGCAAGAGGCAGCTGATGGATGATTCTCTCTCATCAATGTTTCTAACTTTTTATCCCTTTCTCTTCCTCTCTGTAAAAAATCAATAAAAATATATTTTAAAAAATAAAAATAAAAAACATAAAAAACATAAAAAGCAGGAAAGCCCTAGCTGGTTTGGCTCAGTGACTAGAGCTTTAACCTGCAGATAGAGGAGTCCTGGATTCGATTCCGGTCAAGGGCAATGCCTGGGTTGCAGGCTCAATCCCCAGTAAGGGGCATGCAGAAGGCAGCTGATCAATGATTCTCATCATTAATGTTTCTATCTCTCTTTCTCCCTTTCCCTTCCTCTCTAAAATAAATAAAAATATACTCAAAAAGCAGGAAAAAGGAGCCACTCAAACTACTGAAATATAAGATGTTTTCCTTTCTTCCACAGTTCTTTTTTCAACTTCTCTTGGCAGTTTTATTTGCTATTTGCTGTTGTTCAATTACCATTTTAAAAATATAGTTACTGATTTTAGAGAGGGAGGGAGGCAGAGGGAGAGAGAAACACTGATGTGAGAGAGAAACATCAATTGGTTGGCACAGATGATGTTCAACCAACTGAGCTATAATGATCCGGGCATCTCTCTTTCTCTAAAATCAATCAATGAATAAAAATTAAAAAAGAAGTGCTGCTGAAACCGGTTTGGCTCAGTGGATAGAGTGTCAGCCCGCGGACTGAAAGGTCCTGGGTTCGATTCCGGTCAAGGGCATGTATCAAGAGGCAGCTGATCGATGATTCTCTCTCATTGATGTTTCTAATTCTCTATCCCTCTCTCTTACTCTCTGTAAAAATCAATAAAATATATATTTTTTAAAAAAGAAGTGCTTAGCTAAATCAGAGAAGTAGTATGACTGAGAAAGAACATACAGTCTTGAGCATTCACGTCTCCTAGAAGACCACTGCCTTCTTCCTGTTTTCAAAGAAAGTTCTGCTCGAAAGGAAAGTTTGGTCCTTCAGCTCTCAGCATTTCCACGTATTCAGGTGTAGACATAATACACTTACCTTGTCCTCACTCTGAGTCTCCCTGAACTGCCATGCACGGTGGTTACATTCGAGTTCTGTGCTCATGGAGCATCATGAATGGCATATTGTACATACTGTCTCTCTCACACTCATGCTCTATCGTCCCATGAGACTTCCCTTACAAAACACAAATTCAAAGACAACATTATGAAGAATTTTGAAGAACCACGCCAGTTGCTCAGTGGTTAGAGCGCTGCCCCTCAGACCCAAGGGTAGCAGGTTCAATTCCCGGCCAAGGAAATGTACCTGGGTTGTGGGTTCCTCAGCCCAGTAGGGACATTGTGTGGGAGGCAACCAACTGAAGTGTTTCTCTCATGTCAATGTTTTTCTCTCTCCCTTCTTCCTTCCCTTCCGCTTTCTCTAGAAATCAATGGGGGAAAAAGTCCTCAGGTGAGGATTAAAAAAAAAAAAAATTATAGCCAAAACTGGTTTGGCTCAGTGAATAGAGCATCGGTCTGTGGACTGAAAGGTTCCGGGTTCGATTCCGGTCAAGGGCATGTACCTTGGTTGCGGGCACATCCCCAATGGGGGATTGCTGGTCGATGTTTCTCTCATCATCGATGTTTCTTGCTCTCTATCCTCCCTTTCTCTCTGTAAAAAATCAATAAAATATATTTTTTAAAAATATGAAGAATTTAAAGATGGTGACAGCAGAGTCTAAACTAAGCGCAAAGCCATTCTGAGCACAGGCTTTGTTCAAGCAGATCCCAAGTCTGCTTGGAGGGAGGGAGAGAGTTTGAGGGGAAGACGAGACGTGGAGGACTAGAGCCGAGGATTTAGGATGAGAATTGAAAGAAAAACCCCTCCAAAGAGAAGTGAGAAGATTTGAAGAGAGATACAAAGAGATAATTGTGCTTTTTAATAAAAAACCCATATGTTTTTATTGATTTCAGAGAGGAAGGGAGAGGGAGAGAACTTCGACATTACTCTGCAGGGCAGCATGGCACAAGGTCTCGAATAGGTGCTCCGAGAACGTTTGTTGACTCGAGAGGGCAAATGATGAGGAGAGGGCTAAGACATGGGAGTGCCGGGGGAGGTCCAAAGGGGGGAGGGGAAAGGAGACATATGTAACACTTTAAACAATTAAAAACAAAAAACAAAAAAACAGCCGAAACAGGTTTGGCTCAGTGGTCAGAGCGTCAGTCTGTGGACTGAAAGGTCCCAGGTTCGATCCTGGTCAAGGGCATGTACATTGGTTGCAGGCACATCCCTGATAGGGGATGTGCAGGAGGCAGCTGGTTGATGTTTCTCTCTCATCGATGTTTCTAGCTCTCTATCCCTTTCGCTCTGTAAAAAATCAATAAAATATATTTAAAAACAAACAAACAAACAACATGGGTGTGGGAGGAGGCAGAACACCTCAGCAGACCAGCAGACTGGCTCCAGGGCTGGGTCCTCAGGGCAGCACGGGGGGCCTGGGAAGGTGGTATGGAGAGGGATTCACTAACAGGTGTGATGGGAGGCCCTGGAGCCCTGAGATTTGGGGATAAACAGGAAGTGGGAGAAGGGGCTGTGGGACAGGAAAAGGAGGCACGGGGAGGAGCGGGTTGGGGCCACCTGGTAGCAGCTCCCACCAGAGGAATTGCCCTCCGTGGTGGCCTCTATCCATCTCCACGTGTCCTGTCCCAGCTCCCATTCTGCTGGCCCAGCGCCCTGGCTAGTCTCCTTTACCCCCTTCTCTTGGTTTCTGGATCCTCCTCTGCTCCTTTCCCATTCGGCCTTGTGTTTCTCCTGGATCTTCGTCTCTTTCTCACTCTCTGCCTGGGTCCCAATCGCAGCATGTGCTTGCTTCCCTCCCAGCCTCTGCGTCTCTCTCTCTAGGGTTCTCTCTCCGCATCCTGCCCAGCCACGGCCTCTCTCCTCCACCCACTCCATCCAGTCCAGGCCCTGGGGTGGCTGTAAGGGGGAGACCTCCTGGTCCTGGAGAGGCTGCGGGGGGCGGGCCCTGCATCTCCATGTTTCCATATGCATGAGGCTGCCGAGGCCGGCGGCCGGGGGCGGGGTTTCTGGGGGCGGGGAAGGGGGCGGGCAGCCCCAAAGCTGCCGACTATAAAGGCTGCGCTCGGCGCCCGCCGGCGCGCGCTGCTGCGGAGCGGAGCCTCGGGCCGGGGTCCCTGTCCCGGGCTGACCCCGACTGCGCGTCCCCCCGCACCCCGGAGGCCGCGCCCCCCGAATCTGCTCGGCGGAGGAACCTCCGGTGGCAACCCAAATCCTCTCCACCGGCTCTTTCCATCGCGGATTTCGGGGCGGCCCCCTCCCCCTCTTCTCGCTCTGCTTCTTTGCACCCCAATTTGCACTGCGTTCCTCCCCGCCTCGGCTGCCGTCTGTTTTTGCATCCCTCTTCCTGTTGCTTCTGGGAGGTGGCGTGAAGCTGCACTCGTCCCCCTTCCCCTTTTTACCCTCCCCTGCTCTGACCCCCCACCTCACCCCTGTTGATCGCAGTTGGGGGGCCTAGGACCGGTGCATCCCACGCCGCGCTGCCAGCCGCCCGCAGCGCGTGGCTGAGCACCCCGGGATTCGCGGCGGCTGCGCCTCTGAAGGCGGGGGTCCCCCTCGCTCCGGCTGCCTTCGCCCCCGGCGCGTGCCGGCGCGTGGGAGGGGGGCTACAGCGCTCCGCACCCCGGCTTCTCCGTAGCCCCCCGCCCCGCCGCCAAGATGGTCACCCAGAAAGAGAAGAAGAGCTGCGGGCAGGTGGTTGAGGAGTGGAAGGAGTTCGTGTGGAACCCGCGGACGCACCAGTTCATGGGCCGCACCGGGACCAGCTGGGGTACGCGGGGCGGGGGCGGGGGGCCGGGGTCCCCCTGGGTGATGCCCCAGGGGCACGAGGTCCTGTTGGCGTCGCCCCAGCTCCTCTCCCGGCCCCGCGTCCGCCCCCCGCGGCGCCTGGCGGGGAGGGGGCCGGTCGCGCTCTAATCTCCGCGGCCGGCGCTGCGGAGGCGGGGAAAGTAGGTCACCGCCCGCCGCCCCCCGCAGCCCCCCGCGCGGGTCCGGGCTCTGCGCGCGCCCGCCTCTCGGTGCTCGCGCTCCTCTCGCTCCCGGGGGCCGGTCTGCTCCGCGCGGCGGCCCCCCTTCCCCAGGAGACGCCCCTTTCCTCCCCGCGGCTCCCCACCAGCTGGCCAGGCCGTCTATTTTTAGAGCGCGCCCACCCCGACCCTGGGAACGCGCGGGAGGCGGGCCTGGAGCGGCGGGAATGGGAGCTGCAAGGAGGGGGTCCTTCCTGGCGGAAGTTGTCTGGGTCCCGCTGTGGAGCCTGGGGAGCCATCTGTGGCTGCTCTGGGGGAGAGGGGGTTGAGGAGGAGAGTCGCTGTGAGAAGGTTGAGGCTGGGTGTCTGTCTGAGATGGCGCAGGTGCAGGGAGGGGTGCCCACGGGTGGGGAGATGTGTGCATCCTCCGGCCCAGTGTGGCCTGGGGTGGGGGCGGCAGGACTCGGGGTGTGTGGATGGAGTTGGATCTGGTGGAGGGTCTGGTGCTGGGCATATGGCTGCAGGGGAGGGTGGAATGCTTCCAAAAGGGAGAGCCAAACGGGGAGATCTGAGCACAGGGTGCACGGGGTGACGCCATGTACAGTTCATCTACCCTGGCCCAAGGATGTCCCCATCAGCCCGTCCACCCGGGCCCGTGAGGTAGGTCCAAGGCAGTTCTTGTCCAGAGGGAACCTCAAGTCCAGTCCTTGGGATCGGAGAGGTCAGCACTTGGGAGAAGCTGAGGGAGCTTCACGGGGGGGAGTGGAAGGACCAGGGGCTGCCCACACTCAGTGAGGGTGACAGAGTGCCCTCCCATCGCCGCCAAAGACCTGCTCCCAGCTGGGACGGCTGCGGGAGATTCTGCCTTCTCTCCCCGCCTCTGGTCAGGGCGTTCTCTGTGTGCGTGGGGGTGGGGTGAGTGTTGACGGTTCTGGACATCCGTCTGAGAGACTCTGTAGTTAGGAGGGAGCTGTGTTCAAGACTTGGCTTCTGTGGGGCGCCGAGAGAGAGATGTTGCTGTCTGAATGAGGGATGGGATGAGAGTTTTGGTTGTGACCCGGTAGCCAGTGCCAGCTTCCAACTTTGTGTGCCGAGACGGCAGTCACAGATGTGCTTTTTCAGGCTGTGAAGGGTTGAGGAGTGGGGAATGTCATTTGAAGCGAAATCACTGTGGCCTGTCCTTGGGGTTGTCTCAGCAACGAGAGTGAAGGTCTCGTGTGGCCTCCACAAGGTCAGGCCTCAGGAGCTCCACAGGGCCCTCGGACCGGAGGGGGCTGGGAGTCCTGGCTGGGAGCCAGGCACAGCAGCCTGTTTGCAGCGTCTCATTTCCCTCCCCCGGGGAAGGCCGTGCGAGGTCCCCGTGGCTGTGACCTGTCCCCGAGCGGAGCCTCTGAGCGGGAAAGGGGCGTGGGGGCGAGGTGAGGTCACGGCAGGACCACCGGCTGACCCCGTGTCCTCCTCCCCAGCCTTCATCCTCCTGTTCTACTTCGTCTTCTATGGCTTCCTCACGGCCATGTTCACCCTCACCATGTGGGTGATGCTGCAAACCGTCTCTGACCACACCCCCAAGTACCAGGACCGACTGGCCACGCCAGGTGAGTGAGGAGACGCTGCTTCCAGCCCCCCGAGCGGCTCTCTCGCCCCTCAGCCTCCCACAGCAACCCCAGGGCTGGAAAGAACGCGGAGCTGAAACCAGTTCGGCTCAGTGGATAGAGCATCGGCCTGCGGACTGAAAGGTCCCGGGTTCAATTCTGGTCAAGGGCATGTATCTTGGTTGTGGGCACATCCCCAGTGTGGGGGAGGGGGGAGTATGCAGGAGGCAGCTGATCGATGTTTCTCTCTCACCGGTGTTTCTAGCTCTCTCTATCTCTCTCCCTTCCGCTCTGTAAAAAAATCAATAAAATATATATATTTTTTTAAAAAGGGGAAAAAAAGAATGCGGAATTCTCAGAGGTGTGGATCTGATGATCCAACCACCATGTGTTGGGAAGTTGTTTTTAAAAAAAATATATATTTTATTGATTTTTCACAGAGAGAAAGAGAGAGGAATAGAGAGTTAGAAACATTGATGAGAGAGAGTCATTGATCAGCTGCCTCTTGCACACCCCCTACTGGGGATGCGCCCGCAACCAAGGTACATGCCCTTGACTGGAATCGAACCCGGGACCTTTCAGTGCCCAGGCCGATGTTCTATCCACTGAGCCAAACCGGCCCCGGCTGCTGGGAAGTTCTTGAGGTCCGCCTTCCTTTCCCACATCCCACAGCTGAGAGCCGTGGGGCCTGGGGCAGCTTCCTCCCTTGAAGAGGATCTTGGGTCTCCGTCCCATCCCTCCCCCGGTGTTCCCTGTCTCCGTCTTCTGCCCGCTGTGTGTGGCCCCACACCTCACACACAGCCCGCATCCTGCCCTGGTCCGGCTGTAGGCCTGATGATTCGCCCCAAGACCGAGAACCTGGATGTCGTCGTCAACGTCAGCGACGCCGAGAGCTGGGGCCAGCACGTGCAGAAGCTCAACAAGTTCCTGGAGCGTGAGCGCGGGGCCGGAGAGCGGGTGGCGCGGGACCGCGGGCAGGGGTTCGAGACCCCGGAAGGGAACACGGGGCCCACGCGCTCTCTCCCCGTCCCCTCAGCTTACAACGACTCCGTCCAAGCCCAGAAGAACGACGTCTGCCGCCCCGGGCGCTATTACGAGCAGCCGGATAACGGCGTCCTCAACTACCCGAAACGGGCCTGCCAGTTCAACCGGACCCAGCTGGGCGACTGCTCCGGCCTCGGCGACCCCACCCACTACGGCTACAGCACTGGGCAGCCCTGCGTCTTCATCAAGATGAACCGGGTAACCGTGACCCTGGTCCCTAGGGGGGATGGAAGAGGGGATGGGGGCCACCATCTACTGATAGTTACGTCCTTCCGCTGAGGCCACCGGGCGTTAGAGAGATTTTTGGACGTTTGAGCAGCTGAGAGAACGAGAAAGATGGGGCCGTTGGAGGCTGAGATCCATGGCCGGAAGGTGTGTCTTTGGCAACTTCTTTTTCTAACTCTCAGCACTCCCCTCACTCCAGGTCATCAACTTCTACGCAGGAGCAAACCAGAGCATGAACGTCACCTGTGTGGGGAAGGTGAGCGTTTTGGACGGTGTCCACCTGCCCACCTGTTTGTGTGTCGTGGTTTCCCTGTAATTCACTCATCCCTTCCCATCTTCGATCCCCGAGGTCCCATCACTATAGGGATGAGGGGGTAAGAGAGGCTCCAATATGGATCTGACTCCAAGGGGCTTCTGTTCCTCTTGCTTCTCTCCAGGATGCAGAAACCAGCTCTTTTTTTTTTTTTTTTTTTTCTTTAATATATTTTATTGATTTTTTTACAGAGAGGAAGAAAGAGGAACAGAGAGTTAGAAACATCGATGAGAGAGAATCATCGATCAGCTGCCTCTTGCACACCCCCTACTGGGGATGTGCCCGCAACCAAGGCACATGCCCTTGACCGGAATCAAACCTGGGACCCTTCATTCCGCAGGCCGATGCTCTATCCACTGAGCCAAACCGCTTTTGGCAGAAACCAGCTCTTGTGTGGCTAGACATTCCCCCTTCCTGACTCCACCCAAGTCCTGGCCTCTGACTTCCCCCTTTAACCTTTCCACCTTCTTCTCTCCTCCCTGGTCACCACATCTTCTGCCCGCCCTCCCGTATCCCAGCTGTCCCCCAGTTTCTTTTAGGGACCTGGTGGCCGCTGATCTGTCGGCACCATCTGTTCCCACTAAGGTGTCCATGGAACCCCCCTGTCTCCACCTCTGTCCTGTCTAGAAACTTCCTGCCAGCTCTTCCCTCAACCCCTCTCCTTGCTTGCTACTGAGCCTCACTCATGTATCCGTTCCCGCTGGGCTCTGCTCTAGAAACTGACTCCTGGGGATGGGGTGAGAACTCGAGGTGGGAGTGGCGTGGGAGGCTTCCATATCGTTAGCGCTCTCCACGCCTTCCCAGACTATTGAGAGAGACAGGATCCCTCCTCCTGCTCACTCACACACACACACACACACACACACACACACACACACAGACTCAAGGGAAACAGGATAACCGGGGGTGAAAAAAACAAAAGGAAGTCTAGTGAGCATCCGCGCTCCTCCCACCCCTCAAAAGCTCCCCCTTCCACCCTCCTGCGCCCGCAGCGGGAAGAAGATGCTGAGAACCTGGGTAGCTTCGTCATGTTCCCTGCCCACGGCAACATCGACCTCATGTACTTCCCCTACTACGGCAAGAAGTTCCACGTAAGTTCTGGGGGGGCCCCTGGGCGATGGCTCCTCGGGGGGAGCAGAGTCCCCGGGGAGGAGGCCGCATGGCCGTGGGCCCGGCCCCTCACGCTCCTCCTCTGGCCCAGGTGAACTACACCCAGCCCCTCGTGGCCGTCAAGTTCCTGAACGTGACCCCCAACGTGGAGGTGAACGTGGAATGCCGCATCAACGCCGTCAACATCGCCACGGACGACGAGCGGGACAAGTTCGCCGGCCGAGTGGCCTTCAAACTCCGCATCAACAAAACCTGAGAGCCCCCCCACCCCTTCCTCCTGTCCCCACCTCTTTCCTGTGGATGCTTCCGGAATGTCCCTTTCCCTTTCCCTCCGCTCCCAGCCTGATGGATGTCCGTTGTGATTTCCCCGCTTTCGCACACTTTCCACCGTCTTCTCCCAGCCCCTCTCAGTCAGGCGGGAAGGTGGGGTCCCCCATGGTCACGGTTTAGCTGTGAGTGGGGTGTCCCCACAGCTACCCTCCTAGCCCCTGAGAGAGATAGAAAATGCCTCCCCATCTTCGCACGCACGTAAACACAACCTCATCTCACCCCTTAGCTTCCAGACAGGAACGGGGCACTCCATTCTCCCGTCCCTAAGTGCAGCCGCTGCCACCTTCCCCGAGGTCCCACTATGCACTGTTGCTGTCTTGGTGGCTTTTAATTTATCTGGTTCCTCTCATAGGTCTTTCTCCGCCTCCTCTCCATCCCTGTTCTCTTCTTTCCATGACAGTTGGCTCCGTAGTCTTTTCCCTGTTTCCTGGTACATTTCTTTATTTTTAAAAAAATATATATTTTATTCATTTTTTTACAGAGAGGAAGGGAGAGGGATAGAGAGCTAGAAACATCGATGAGAGAGAAACATCAACCAGCTGCCTCCTGCACACCCCCTACTGGGGATGTGCCTGCAACCAAGGTACATGCCTTTGACTGGAATCAAACCTGGGACCTTTCAGTCTGCAGGCCGACGCTCTATCCACTGAGCCAAACCGGTTTCGGCTCCTGGTACATTCAACTTTGCATCCGAAAGTGATGGTGTGAGCTGGGAGTAAGGGTTTGGAAGTCTATATGGGTCTTGCTGGAACATTCTCCCCCTGATCTCTATCGCCCAAATGGGCGCCGCTCAGAGGGGCATGGTTGACCCAGGCTGAATATCCACTTTGTTTTTGCGGATGGCTCCCTTACCCCTGTCGGCTTTCCCAGAATATCCTTCACGTTCCACTTCCCAGGAGCCCTGGGGGAGGGGCGGCCGCCTTGGATCTGTCCCCAGTGGCCACCGCGGAGACGTCAGCAGGCTGTGGGACTATTCCACCAGCTTCCCTGGGCCCGGATCTGCCCCCACTACCCTCTCGCCGGTTTCTCTTAGCAGTTTATCAACTAATCACTAACGCCTACCCTTTCCTCTGCATTCTAGCCTAAAACTGGCAAATCCCCCCTCCATTTAGGCCCTGAGTTTCCTGGCTCCGTCTCCTTCGGATCACTTTGCAGTTTCAAACAGCCCCCTAGTGCCCTTAGCATGGGAAAAGAGGGGCCTCCTGTGTTCTTGAGTCACAGAGGCGTTTTAACGGTCTCCTCAGCGCCATTTGTTCACTTCCTCGCCTCGGTAATCCCCTCCTTCTTCCCCCCCCCCCCCCATGCTGCAGCCTCCACACCCACCCACAGGTGGACCCTCTCCTTTTTCCTCTTGCTGAATCTGTTTCTTCACTCTGGCTCCCCGTGTTTTCCTGCACTCCCCACACCCCAGGGGCCTCTCTCCGCAGTTATTTAATGCCTGTGTCAGATCTACTGTAAAAAGAGAATTAAGTACAATAAAATGAGAGAAATTATATATATAAATATATATCATACGTGGAGCCCTGTGTGTGGGTGTTCCTTTCTGAGCTTTGGGCAGAGCCTGGGAAGGGGGTGGAGGGCGGGTTTGGGTGACCCGGGCTTATCCGGGCTTGGGCTGCTCTTCAGATGTGCAGTGTCTCAGCATCCGCCTCCTAGGTCACTCCGTCACTATACTCTCTTGAGATCACGCAATAACAGACAAGAAGCCTGTGTCCCTTTGTACAACCATACATATGAAGCGCCTACTATGTGCATTTTAGGCGCCATGAGGACACTTAGGAAAGAGGCAAAGTTCCTGCCCCCAAGGAGCTCCCAGTTTAACGGGAGGGGTGAGGAGCACACAAACTCACTCCAGGTAGACCAAAACGTGCCTCAAGGAAGGGGAGAAAGCTGGTGAGGACAAAATTCAGAGTGGCCAACCACTCTTGGGTGCTCTGAATGGAAGGTTTTTTAATTATTTTTTTAAAAAATTATATATATATATAATTTTTTTTTTTTTTTTTTTTTTTTTTTTTTTTTTTTTTACGGAGAGGAAAGGGGAGGGATAGAGAGTTAGGAACATCAATGAGAGAGATCAGAAAAATCGATCAGCTGTCTCCTACACATCCCTGCTGGGGATGTGCCCGCAACCAAGGTACATGCCCTTGACTGGAATTGAACCTGGGACCGTTCAGTCCGCAGGCTGATGCTCTATCCACCGAGCCAAACCAGTTAGGGCCAAATGGGAGGTTTTTTTTTTTTTTTTTTTTTTTAAAGGATTAAAGGATGGGGCAGTTTGGGGTGAGAATAGCATCAGCAAATGTCTAGAAAGATGAGAAAAATGGACTAGAAGAGACAGATCTCAAAACGGTAAGAACCATATGATCGTAATTTTGTGTAAAAGAAAAAGTATGCCCAAGCATAGAAAAATGGGTGGATGGGTCTACCCAGCAATGTTTATTGAAATATATGGGATGGGTTTATAGCTAACTTTTTCCTTGGGGCTTATTTGCTTTTGTTTGAGATACATTGGTCTTACTATTTGCCTCAAAAAAATAGCTCAATTACATATGCGTGCAGATACGCAATTTTATCCTGAATGCATTGTAGAAACAGCGTGGATCAGTGGGTTTTGGTTATTGTTATTTCAAAATTGGATAATGTTACGCACTTTTGTGCACCTCACTTTCTTCACTCAATCAATTTGTCACTACTTCACCTGGTGGGCTCTTATCATTTTTAAACGGTGGCAGTTTTTCTGTTGGTTCATTCTTCTCTTACTTTGTTACAGCGGCAGAATTAACTGTCTTCTACATTGTAAAATTCCCCCAACTGATGGTTTGCCTCTTTAGTTTGTGCCTGCTTTGACTGTTCGAGGGTTGGGTTTTCAGATAGTCAAATATCAGTTATTTTGTAGTTTCTGAGTTTCCAGACAGTGGGTATACACATTATTTTCTGGATTTTTTTTTTTGGGGGGGGGAGACAGGATTTTTATTTTTTGTTGTTGTCAGTTCTCACCTGAGGATATTTTCTCCATTGACTTTTAGAGTGGAAGTGAAGGAGAGTGAGAGAGAGAGGGAGAGAGAGAGAGAGAGAGAGGCATCAGTGTGAGACACATTGGCTGCCTCCCACACGAACTAGAGATTCTTCTTTTTTTAAAATATATTTTATTAATTTTTTACAAAGAGGAAGGAAGAGGAATAGAGAGTTAGAAACATCGATCAGGTGCCTCCTGCACACCCCCTACTGGGGATGTGCCCTCAACCAAGGTACATGCCCTTGACCAGAATCGAACCTGGGACTTTTCAGTCCACAGGCCGACACTCTATCCACTGAGCCAAACCAGTCAGGGCTGAACCAGATATTCTTTGGTGCACAGGCAAATGCTGTAATCATTGAGCCCATGGACCAGGGCAGGATTTAAATTTCATTTAAAAATGACATTCCCTTTAATTCGTCTGGTTTATTTTTGTTTTTGTAAATTAGGAGTCCAATTTTATTTTTCCAGTTGTGTTAGCTTCATTTAAAAAAGTCCATAATTTATTCCCACTGAATTGAAAAACTTTGGCCACATAATACCATTTCCGATATACTGAGGTCTACCTCTGATTCACTCCTTGCTGCACAGGGGCTATTTACCACTCCATAGAGCAAGCTGTATTGCTCTAATCTGTTGTTTCATGATGTGCTTTTTCATATTTAGCAAGTAAGTCCCCCAGTTCTCTTTTTATTTTTATTTATTTACTTTTATTTCTTAAATATATTTTAATTGATTTCAGAGAGGAAGGGAGGAGAGATAGAAACATCAGTGATGAGAGAGAATCATTGATAGGCTGCCTCTGGGGATCGAGCCAGCAACCCGGGCACGTGCCCTTGCCTGGAATCAAACCTGGGAAACCCGGCCAGGGTTGGTTGATTCTTGTATGTGCCCTGACCAGGGATCAAACCCTCAACCTTGGCATTTAGGGACACTGCCTTAACCAACTGATCTACCAGGCCAGGCCTGGTTCTGTTATTTATTTTATTTTAAAATATATTTTATTGATTTTCTTACAGAGAGGAAGGGAGAGGGATAGAAAGCTAGAAACATCGATGAGAGAGAAACATCGATCAGCTGCCTCTTGCACACCCCCTACCGGGGATGTGCTTGCAACCAACGTACATGCCCTTGACCGGAATTGAACCCGGGACCTTTCAGTCCACAGACCGATGCTCTACTGCTGAGCCAAACCGGTTTCAGCTGCTTTTGTTATTTTAAATGGAATGTGTTTTTTTTTTTTCAGTGCTTTTAAAAACCATTAATATTTCTCTATTATCTGTTTACCTTCCTAAATTCTCTCAGTTCTATCACATTTCTAATAAGGCTTGAACTTTTAGACACATGTGATCTAAAAGGTAGAAAATTAAAAAAGAAATATATGTATATATATTTTTCCCTTCTTGAGTGTCTTAAAAAATCCCATTTGTTAGTGGGCATCCCTGTTTAGTTCTGGATTCTAATTGAAATTATCTTATATTTAACCATTAGGATACTTCCTATTATTCGATTACTGTTTTTTAAAGAATGGCTGGCGAAATTTAATCAAATTCCTTTCAGCATCTGTTGATATGATCTTATTTTTCTTCATTCATTTGTTAATGTAATGAATTATGTTGACAGATTCTCTATTAAACCAACCTTGTGCTCCTGGAATAAACCCTACTTAGTGTTAATTATATATAAATATTTTTGGTTACTCCTACCCATCTTTTTTCTTTCTTTATTCAACTTATTGGGGTGACATTGGTTAATAAAATTAAATAGATTTCAGGTGTCTAATTCTATAAAATATCGTCTATGTATTGTCTTGTGTGTCTACCACGCCAAGCCAAGTCTTCCATTAGGATTTATGCTTGTACTCTCTTCTCCCCTCCCCCTTTCCCTTTGGAAACCATCACACTGTTGTCTGTGCGTTAAGAGGTTGTTGTTTTTAATGCCTTCACCTTTTTCACCTACCCCACAACCTCCCTCCCCTTAACAGTCTTTAGACATAATGTATAGGTATTATTTTGAAATATTGCAGCCATAATTTGGTTTCTAGGTTTTTAGTATCTTTATCAAGTTTAAAAATATATATATATTTTAAATCTATTTTATTGATTTTTTAGAGAGGAAAGGAGAGAGAGTTAGAAACATTGATGAGAAAGTCATTGATCAACTGCCTCTTGCACATCCCTTACTGGGGATGTGCCCGCAACCAAGGTACATGCCCTTGACTGGAATCAAACTCAAGACCCTTCAGTCCGCAGGCCGACACTCTATCCACTGAGCCAAACTGGTTTCAGCTAAAAGATATTTTTAAAATTTATTTCAGAGAGGGAGGAGAGATAGGAACATCAATAATGAGAATCATTGATTGGCTGCCTCCTGCACAATCAGGGATGGAGTCCCACAACCCAAGCATATGTCCTGACCAGGAATGGAACCGTGACCTCCTGGTTCATAGGCTAACGCTCAACCACTGATCCAACCCAGGTGGGATTTCCATTGACTTTTTCTTGAGTTGGAAGGGAGTGGGAGAGACACAGAGAAGGAAACGTTGATGATGCCAATTGGTTGCCTCCAGCATGGGCCCTACTGGAGCTAGCCAGGGATTGAGCCTGCAACTACTAGCAAGGTATGTCACCTTGACCGGATTTGAACCCGTGACTCTTTAGTCCATGGGCTGATGCTCAATCCACTGAGCCAAACTGGCCAGGGGTCTTTGTTAGGTTTTAATATTAAAACCACTTTACATGAATTGGAAATTTCACTCTTTCCCTAAGGCCCAGGACAACTTAAGTACCGCTCATTGGACCGTTTGGTTCTTATTCTTCTCCACGCCCTCAATCTAGTGCTTGAGTTAAAAAAAAAAAAAAAAAAAAAAAAAAAAAAAAAAAAATATATATATATATATATATATATATATATATATATATAAAAGTCACTGCTTTTGGATTTATCCTTTTAATTAAGCTTGCTTAGGTTCCTATCTTTTCTAAATAAGGAAAGCATGGTTGTACATTTTCCTAGGAGCACTATTGCTGGGTGTCTCACAGATTTGGGTGCCCCGTGTTCCTGAAATTGGGAAACAAGTGTCCTAACTTATTCCAAACCTCCATGGGGCGGGGCTTGGGCCCTATGAGAACAGGGGCCACCATGTTTGCCATGGGGTCCGGGGCTTAAACAGTGAAGGGCACAGACTGGCTAGAAGGGTAGACAGAACACACTGAAGTGAGCAGATGGGACTGGAGAGGTTAGGGACTCATTAAAAGTCACACAGCTCAGCAGAGCTGGCCCGACAATCCATCTTATAGTTCACAGCTTAGTAACCTGTCAGCTCACAAAGGGATCAGCAGAGCCAGAATGGATCTTTTTAAAAAAAATATTTTATTGATTTTGTACAGAGAGGAAGGGAGATAGTTAGAAACATCGATGAGAGAGAGTCAGCGATCAGCTGCCTCCTGCACACCCCCTACTGGGGACATGCCCGCAACCAAGGTACATGTCCTTGACCGGAATCGAACCCGGGTCCCTTCAGTCCCCAAGCCGATGCTCTATTCACTGAGCCAAACCGGTTTCGGCAGAATGGATCTTTTTCTAAAAAATGTTTTTGCCGAAACCGGTTTGGCTCAGTGGATAGAGTGTCGGCCTGCAGACTGAAAGGTCCCGGGTTCGATTCCGGTCAAGGGCATGTACCTTGGTTGTGGGCACATCCCCAGTAGGGAGTGTGCAGGAGGCAGCTGATCGATGATTCTCTCATCGATGTTTCTAACTCTCTATCCCTCTCCCTTCCTCTCTGTGAAAAAGCAATAAAATATATTTTAAAAAAAATTAAAATGGCCGAAGCCGGTTTGGCTCAGTGGTAGAGCGTCGGTCTGTGGACTGAAAGGTCCCAGGTTCCATTCCGGCCAAGGGCATGTACATTGGTTGTGGGCACATCCCCGGTAGGGGGTGCGCAAGAGGCAGCTGGTCGATGTTTCTCTCTCATCGGTTTCTAGCTCTCTAGCTCTCACCCTTCCTCTCTGTAAAAAATCAATAAAATATATTTTTAAAAAATAAATAAATAAAAATGTTTTTATTGATTTCAGAGAGGAAGGGAAATGTCATTGTGAGAAACTGATAGGGTGCCTCCCACGTGCTCTAACCATGCGCTGACTAGGGTCCAAACCACAACCTATGTAGGCGCCCTCACCAGGAATCGAACCAGTGACCTTTAAATGCATGGGACGACACTCAGCCAACGAGCCACACCAGCAAGGGTCGGATCCGCTTTGGAAGTACAGCAGAAATGAAACAGCTAGGGGGGACACATTCTAGGGAAATGGGAGTAATGGGAGCTGGACGCTGATCAGAAAGGGAGCTTTAAGGTGACGGCCTACAGGGATGGGTTTGCCAAGGGCCTGGTAGGTGGGAGAGACGGTAATTCTGGTCTCTGGGGAGGTGTTTGGCATCCTTCACAATGAAGAGAAAAATGGTTTTGAGACCAGGGTGGCCAGTGGCTTCACAGCCATCTGGATCCACAGGGCCAGCCAACGGACTCCCACTGGCACTGTGAGCCTGGTTGGAGGCTGAGAGGACAATGGCCCAACCTTAGCACGTCCCCCTGTACCCACAGGGAGGAGGCAGGACAAGCTGTGTCCCCATTGTCCGGCCACCCCCTGAGCACTGGCCAGCGCTAGCTCGCCCCCAGCCCCCCTCCCTGGGAGCCGGCAGCAGGATGGGCCGGGGGCGGGGGCGGCTGAGCTCTCCACCCTAACCCAAGGAGCCCTTTGAAAGGTTTTCCTGGCAGAGTTTAAAGCTTCAATTCATTCAACCGCCTGGCAAGAGGCCCAGGATGAGGGGATGCTGGGAAGGCCCCAGCCCCACACCCCAGCCTTCACCTTAGCCGCCCCCACTTCCCGGGACCCGGGCTGGCAGGCCTCCCGCTGCTTGCTCTCATTATCAAATGGCACCCACCCCGTCCTCTGGGGAATTCAGGTATCCTGCCCCGTTCCCGTGGAGCAGATGGCCACCCCAGAGGCTCAGGCTTGCTAAATTAGACATTTAAATCCCTTAATCCGTGGTGAGTGGCTGACAAGGGGGCAGGAGAGGACCTTGTGCCAGCTCTGGCAGGAAGGGAGAGGGACAGAGTTATGGATTCACCCCCACCCTTGTTGTCATGCAGCCTGCAGACTGACCCAGTCTCCAGCTTTTGTTCTCCTCCCCCAACCCGGGGGTGGGGGCTCCCCAGCCCACATTCCCTGGAGACTCAGGTGGCTGCTTCCCAGGGTCACCTCCTTAACTCACCCCTGCCCTGCAGGCCCCAGGCAGCCGGCATTGGCTCTCACCCTCAGACACACAGGTATCACCAAAGTTTTATTGTAAAACAAGAAACCAATATAAAAAAAAAAAGAAAAGTAGTATAAAAGTGGAAGAGGGGGAGGGGTGCGGGTGAGGAATACAGATGTGCCTCTCAGACCCCAGGGGGAATCGAACCTGAGCATTTGCGGGAAGTAAAGCAGAGCCTGGAAGATACAAATCCTACACTGGAGAGGGGACCCTCCAGGCGGTGGGATGAGGCATGGAGGTCTCCCTTTGGGTGGTGAGGTTCCCTGACTTCCGACGGACTTTGGCCAGGCCGGTGGAGAAGGGTTTAGAAGTTTCCTTCTCTTAACCAGCTGCCCGGTCAGACAGGGGCCGGAACCGGCACCCCTGAGGGAGCCTAGTCCCAAACACCCATCATTTCATTAACCCTCACAGTCAGCCCCGTCCATGTGGACAAGGAAGTTAGAGAAATTAAACTCGAGATAACTTCCCTGGCTAGTTTCCAACCCAGTGTTGATGGCGGGTTTAAAACTTAACCCTTGCATGCAGGAACATTTTCCTCCCTCCCCCAAATGGCCTCTATAGGAAAGACCTTAAAAGTTAAGCTGAAACATCTGAGTTCCCGCCACCTTCCTCCAAAACCCACCAGTGCAGGCCAGCTTCTTGAGGAGAGGTCTCAGCCAGGCAAACGGAATTCTGGGGTGTTTCTGAGGCACATCTATACCAAGCAGAGGGTTAAGCTCCCAACCCCAAAAATATGCCAGGAAGGGGGACAAGGGTGGGGGTGTCCCTGGGGGACAGAAGCAGGGGTGTCAGTCTGAGTCAGGCCCCTCTCTCTTGAACATGAGCTTCTTTTTATGGCGGGAGGTGGACGGCCCCTTTTTAGATTTCAGGTGGCTGTGGAGACAGAAGAGGGAAGGGAGGAGATGACATCATCAGAGTGAGAGGGGGAGGGCCTCTCTTCCCATATCTAGGTTTTGAAGGGCCTGAGGTTGGACCAAGGGGAATATAAGTTAAAATAGTCACCATCAACTGCAGACACGCTCACTGAGCACTGGGGGTACTTGTCTGTACTAAACTCCTTATCCCATTTGACAAACGAGGAAACTGGACTCGATAAGGGGGAGTAACAAAGCCACCAGGACTTGCTAGCTCTCAGGAAGGCCAAAGATTTGACCCCACACCCCGGCTCTGCCTGGTACTCCCAAAGTTACCAGGCCCCGACTGGGGACCCCAGATCGGAGACAGAGGTGGCTAGAAATGGCAAGGAAGTGTCCATGCTCCTATTTGGGCTTGAGGGGTCTGCGGACCACTCCACCTGACGCAGGAAAGTGGTCACATGATTCAACTCTAGGACGAGTGAAGGATGTCCAGGCAGGGCCAGGACCCAACGGGAGAATTCTGTTGTCTTTGACCTTGAAGGCAGGATTACAATGGAATCCCAGGCTCTCCAACATAGGAATGCAGGGGAGTGGGCTGAAAGGGGACCCAGGTCACTCACCTGGAGTGAGTCTTGCTTCCACCCGGGTCCTTTCCGGCCTGGGCATCCTTCAGCTCCAAGGCTTCGTTAATTTGTCGTAACATCTCGAAGCGTTCGCGCCCACGGACCTGTGGCGGGGAGGAGGGGGATAACGAAGTACCAGGCAAAGTCATAGAACCATTGTTATGTTCTCTTTTAACAAATTTTCTTTTGAAAGATGATCCTTTAAATGTAGGTTATGGTACAAGATGGCATCCTGAAATCAGACATCACCAGGAGCCACTGTCTCTAGGCACCACTGCCCCCTGATGGCAAATGCCCTAATTGCAGGGAAAGCAGCCAGGAAGAAAATAGCATTTTTGAATGCTAGACTTGAAACTTAAATCTTTTTTTTTTTTAAGTGGCTTAAAACAACATCACTCTATCATCTTCTGTGTGTCAGGAACCTGACAGATCTCACAGGGCTAAAAGCCCGGGTGGCAGCAGGTGCATTCTTCTGGGGGCTCTAAAGGGGAGTCCATTTCTTTGCTCATCATTCGGATTACTGGCAGAGTTCAGTTCCCAGTAGACGTCCTTGCTGGTTACCAGCAGATGGCTGCTGCCAGCTTCCAGAGGGCACCATGGCTCCCTGGCTGGTAGGGAAGGCACACCGCTACCTTTACGAAGCCCCTTAGGCTTCTTTCTGGCAGGGCCGTAAATAAAGTTCCTTTTCCTCCAACTAATCCCTCAGTGCTTGCGTTGAGCCTGAACAAAGGTGCTGACTTTTGCTAGATGCTGGGGCTGCAGCGATGACTCACACACGGTCCTTGCCCTCAAAGTTGGAAGCAACTTCATCCAGGCTCATTACGTTTCTACTAGGCACATCCACATGTTCCGGGTGAAACTTAATCTCAAGACCGTGGGTCATGACCAGAGAAAGGATAGATGGGCCTACCCACACACTTGCTACTTTTACATCTGTTATATCCTTATCCGATCCCACCAAGTAGGGGCAAGAGGCTGCCCGTCTTCCTTTCCCAAACGTGGTACCTGCAGGGTGAAATATTCTTCGTCCACGCGCATCTTCGACGGGGGAGAGGAGTCCGTGTCGGTGGGCAGTGCTGGGGAAGAGGTAAGGGATGGTGAGAAAGGGTGAATCTGAGGCAGAACCACACCTTCTCCCTCCTCCGCTTCCCCTCGCCCTGCTTGCTTCCTACCTCGCTTAGTGCTCCTGGAGGGCTGCTTGGGACTCCCAGGAGGCTGCTCGAGAGAAGACTCCCCCTTCTTGCGGGAATTCTCTTCCTCTGTGCGTCGGTCTCTCCCAGGACAGGCGCAGATACGCACCTCAAAGCTGTTTCGTCCCAGCAGGTTACCACTGCCAGGCAAGGAGAGGAGCAGGAGGCGGTGAGAGGTGGGCACTACACGCAAACCAGGTCCCACCCACTCCCAACCACCTTCACCCTATGTGGAGCCTAAGCTCCGGGGCCAGGCCTACGGAGAAGCCACAGGTCAGAGGTTGCAAAGCCAGAGAAAAGAAAACTGGGGGGGAGCAACAAGGAGGTTCTACAAATAGGATGGGAGAGGCAAGGATGGCTGGTGGTTCCTGGAGAAATGGCGGAGGGGCAGGGCGCAGGGGCCAGAGACAGGCAGGGGCCAGGGAGGGGCAGGGCGCAGGGGCCAGAGACAAGCAGGGGCCAGGGAGGGGCACGCCAGCACAAAGGGCGGTCGGTGTTCGAGTCCCTACTCGGAATCTTCCAGTGTGATGATGGTGAGGATGGGCCGCCGGTTCATGCCGCCCATGCAGGAGCTGTTACACATGAAGTTGTAGTGAATGGTGGTATAGTCGGAGCCCACCTGGGAGAAAACAGAGGCCCGCAGTGAGGTCACCCAGCCCCGGAGCCCGTGGCCTCTGAGAGCGCCAGCTCTGCACCCGTGGACTGGCAACCTCCCATCTCCCGCTCCGCACGCACCCCAGCTCGGGAGCCACGGACAAGCCCTCCTAGCCCCCTCCTCCCGGAGACCCCAGGTGCCAAACCAGACCTCGGGCGGCTGGTAGGGCACCACCACGCTGTGTCGAAGAGTGGTTTTGTCATCCAGGTACTTCGCACGCGAATTCCCTTCCACCCGGATAAGGTGATGAGGAGGAGCCAGATCTACGGGTCATTAGGAAAAGAATCAGGCACCTGGGGACTCTGGGCCACAGCCCCGCCCGTCCCGTCCGCGGCCGGCCGACCGCTCACCGTCATTGTATTCAGGGCAGCGCTCATGGTGGGGGCAGCGCCGCACGACCTCCGTCGTGTGCTCCGACTTCTTGTAGATGGCCATGGCGCGGACCCGGCTGCTGAGCGGGGGTGGGGAGGCGACCCACAGCTGCACGGGGCAGGTCTTTGCCATCTGGCAGAACAGCTTGTTGAGGGTAGAGGAGTACTGTGGGAAAAGGAGAAAAGAACGGATGGGAGGTCAGGGGACAAGCACTGCTTAAGAACCAACTGAAAGCCATGTACTGTGTGGGGAGGGTGGCTAGGGATGGCAGAGTTGGAGACCCGTGTCCCAGAAGCTTATTTACAAAAGCTACGGAGTGAAAGAGAATGCAGAGCCGAAACCGGTTTGGCTCAGTGGATAGAGCGTCCGCCTGCGGACTGAATTGTCCCAGGTTCGATTCCGGTCAAGGGCTTATACCTTGGTTGCAGGTACATCCCCAGTAAGGGTTGTGCAAGAGGCAGCTGATCGATGATTCTCTCATCGATGTTTCTAACTCTCTATCCCCCTCTCTTCTGTTCTGTAAAAAAATCAATAAAATATATTAAAAAAAATAATAAAGAAAATCACTCATCTAAAAAAAATAAATAAAAATAAAAAACAGCCGAAACCAGTTTGGCTCAGCGGTAGAGCGTTGGTCTGCGGACTGAAGGGTCCCGGGTTCGATTCCGGTCAAGGACATGTACATTGGCTGCGGGCACATCCCCAGTATGTGCAGGAGGCGGCTGGTCGATGTTTCTCTCTCATCAACGTTTCTGGCTCTCTATCTCTCTCCCTCCCTCTCTGTAAAAAATCAATAAAGTATATATATATATATTTAAAAAATAAAAAAAAATAAAAAAATAAAAAAAACCAGTAATTTTTTATTAAAAGAGAGAGAGAGAGAGAGAGAGAGAGAGAGAGAGAGAGAGAGAGAAAGCGCGCACGCAGAGAGAAAGAAAAGTTCCCGGGCCTTCTGAGGGATGCTGGGAGTATGACGCCCAAGGTCAAGGAAGAAAATGCAGAGGTCAAAGGTCACAGACTACACAGGCAGAATGTAGAAAGACAAGCCAAAGGCTGAGAGAGGTTCTAGTGGTCTGAATAGAAAAACCTGGGGTGGGGGAGTGGGAGGGGGAGGATATGGTCAGGCATTGAACCGTCATATGGAAGCCAGCCTCCCAGGGCCACTCACCGTGCAGGTTACGGACTTGGCTGTCCCAGAATTCAGGAATCCTAAACGGAAACCATAGCTACCGGGATAGGTCTTATGGGAAGGGACAGAGGATGACAGGGTCCAGGGGGTGGCTGGCACTGGGGCGGCAGCTGCTGGTGCAGGAGTTGCTGGCATATTGGAGGCTTCATTTGGACCGCTGCCCAGACAGTCTATGAGGTCTTGGGGCATCCAGTCCAGTTCACCCAACGCCTGGCAGTCTTCAGGATTCTGTGCACGAGGAAAGCGAGAGTCAGAGAGCTGGGTTCCCAGGCAGTTGACCCTATAGCCCCTGGTCCCTCCCCATCCCTAGTCCTTACCAGATTATCACTGTCATTGAGTCTATAAGGGAGTCTGAAAGACAAGAGCAGAAAGAAAGGCAGTCCTGGTTCTTGCCTTCTACAGGCCTCTACTGCTGGGGTGCTGGGGAATGGGGAGGGGGAGGGGGAGGAGTAGGCAGGGGAAGGCTGTCCTTATCAGAAGGTGGGCAGTGAACATGTCCCTCCCATAGGCCCTCTACTCACGAATTCCACAATTCTGAGAATGTCTCCTGACTCAGAGGGAGGTTAGAGACTTCTGACAGCGGCTCATCCATTGCAGCTCCCTGGAAGGCAGCTCCCTGGAAGGCAGCGTGGCTGCGGTGGGGAGAGGAAAAGTGAGGATCCAGCATGAAACACGCCCAACACCATATCAGGGTCTGACACATAGGAGTCCCGACTTCCTGAGGAGCAGGGCTCACACACGTCTTTCATCACAACCCAGGCTGCTCCGTGCCCACCTCTCACCAGCCTTACTACACACTTGCTTGAGAAAAAAGAGAAAACCAGAGAGGGACTTCCAAGCTTCCCACCGATGAATCCACAAGCCTTCCTTCCTAATGAGGATGCAGTAATGCTCAGCCCTCTCCGCCACCTGGGGGAGATGCCTCCCTGAACCTCCTTCATCCCAAAGCTCCGGGAAGTTGCAGTGTATGCTTTCCATCCCTCATGACCAGGAACCTGCCTGCCTGCTTCTCTGATCTCACCTGCCAGATCTCCCCTTCCCTGAGGCTCTGGCTGCAGCTGCCCTTCTCACACTCCCCAGTTCACCTAACTGCTGGTTCCCTCTACTGGGAACGCTGGTTGTGCCATCACTGCAGACCTCAACTTGGAAACCTCCTCAGGGATATTTCCCCAGACCACTCGCCAAACTCCATCACCCTATTTTAATTTGTGCATTTGTTTCCTCTAGTCTAGTTGAATACAAACAGCCTCAGGACAGGGACGTTATCTTGTTCATCATAGTGTTAGCATAACATCTCCCACCTGGTCGAGTTCACTGGTGACTAAGTGAATTGTTTGGAGTAAGATGCATACTTCATGACAGATTAATCTTCAGGTACAGATTTTAGCTAACAAAAAGCTTGCATCTCAGAGGCTGGCAAAGGATCACCTGCCAGAACTCCCAAAACTGATGGGGGTAACTATGCATGTACCCGCAAGTAGGAAGGCAAGAGGGGGTGGCAAAGGAGTGGCCAGTGGGAACTGGGGAGAAGTGCCAGGGTCCCCTCTTGATCAGTGATCAAAAAAACTTTGGAGACTTTTATGTAAGGGGGCTGGCTCCTAAGTAAAAATCTCTGGATTTGCCCTAGCCGGTTTGGTTCAGTGGATAAGAGCGTGAGCCGAGGAGTGAAGGGTCCTGGGTTCGATTTTGATCAGGGCACATGCAGGAAGCAACCAATTGATGTTCCTTTCTTTCTTTGTCTCTCCTCCTCTTGAAAGATCAATGGAAAACTATCCTCAGGTGATGATTAACAAAAAATTAACAAAAATAGCAGCAGTAGCCTACATATTAAGGAAAATGTACAACTGAGAAAAGTGCCTGGCACATAGTAAGAGCTTAAAAAATGCTTCTGTTTACATGACAGTTCCATAGTATTTTTTCTATATTTTTAGTCTAGAGCGAGAACTCTGATTGTGAGCTAGGGGGACTTTTTTTTTTCTTTAATATATCTTATTGATTTTTTACAGAGAGGAAGGGAGAGAGATAGAGAGCTAGAAACGTCGATGAGAGAGAAACATCGACCAGCTGCCTCTTGCACACCCCCTACCGGGGATGTGCCCGCAACCAACGTACATGCCCTTGACCGGAGTCAAACCTGGGACCTTTCAGCCCGCAGACCGACGGCGAGGGAGACTTTTGTGGACTGCCCCATTAATGCTGGTTCACCTTTCAGGGAACTCAGTTCAGTAAACATGCCAGCAGGGGCTGTCCCGGGATGGTGGGCCCAAGGAGGTCCTGGTTCAATTCCCAGTCAGGGCACATGCCAGGGTTACAGGCTCGATCCTCAGTGTGGACATGCAGGAGGCAGCTGATCAACGATTCTCTCATCATTGACATTTCTATCTCCCTCCCCCTTCTCGCAGAAGTCAGTAATAAAAAAACATACATACAAAAAGAAGCAGTCAGTCATCAGGAGGAAACTTTTTGGAATAAAGAGCTTATCCATACATTATATCCATACGCAATTAAAATATGGATACAAAAAAGACAAAATGTTATAATTACTTGGTGGAAATATGAGCGTTGTTATTCTCATACTTCTCTGCATTTTTCCAAAATAAGAAAATCTATAAAAAGAAAAATAATCTCTTTCCCAGATTCACTTTGGGGCCTTGGAAGAAAATCATTTGACTATACTTGTGTGTCTTTCCCTGGACTGTATTCTGTTCACTAGTTATCCTCCTCTAGCTTTAATTTTTAACTTTGTATACTCTTTCATTTTGGAATCAGCTTGTGAATTTCTATTAAAAAAAGCCTGCTAGGATAGAAACATCAATAATGAAATAGAATGATTGATTGGCTGCCTCCTGCACGCCCCCTACTGGGGATTGAGCCAGAAACTTGGGCATGTGCTCAGACAGGAAATCAAACCCATGATCTCCTGGTTTATAGGTTGATGCTGAACCACAGGTATCAGCAATATTTTGCAGATTATAATATAGAGCTCTTGTCCATCACTTGTTAAATTACCCCCGAATATGCCATGTTTTGTATGCTATTTTAAATTCATTTTCCAAGCTCAGATTCAATGGTTGCTACCGTATTATACAGAAATACAATTTATATATACTGCCTTTGAAACTGTGACTATTTTTCTTTAAATATATTTTATTGATTTTTTACACAGAGGAAGGGAGAGGAATAGAGAGTTAGAAATGTCAATGAGAATCATCGACTAGCTGCCTCCTGCACACCCCCGACTGGGGATGTGCCTGCAACCCATGTACATGCCCTTGACCGAAATTGAATCTGGGACCTTTCAGTCTGCAGACCGACGCTCTATCCACTGAGCCAAACCGATTTTGGCTGAAACTGTGACTATTATAATCACTTGCTAGTTCTGATGATTTTAAAATAATTTTGTTACGAATTTTGTTGTGTATATAATCATGCCGTTTGTGAGTAAAATAGTTTTATTTCTTCCTTTTCAATAATAATGTTTATTTAAAAAATACATTATTTTTGCCGAAACCAGTTTGGCTCAATGGATAGAGTGTCGGCTTGGGGACTGAAAGGTCCCGGGTTCGATTCCGGTCAATGGCATGTATCTTGGTTGCGGGCATATCCCCAGTAGGGGGTGTGCAAGAGGCAGCTGATCGATGACTCTGCTGCCTCCTACATGTCCCATATTGGGGAGCAAGCCCGTAACCTTGGCATGTGCCCTGACCGGGAATCGAACCCTGACTCCTGGGTCATAGGTTGATGCTCAACCACTGAGTGACACTGGCCAGGCTACTTATTTTTCTTGCTGAAGTGGTGAGAGTGGAATCCTTTAGTTCCTGATCTTAGAGGAAAAGCATTAAGCCTGTCACTATCCTATATAATAAAAGCCTAATATGTTAAGGCCATGCAACCATTTGCTATGACATGCACAAACCACTAGGGGGCAGAGGCTCAATGCAGGAGCTGTCCCCTGGTGGTCAATGTGCTCCCACAGGGGAAGCACAGCTCAGCCAGAAGCTGGGCTCATGACTGGTGAGCGTAGCTGTGCTAAGGATGTCCAACTGCTGTCAGCTGGACATCCTCCGAGGGCTCCCGGACTGTGAGAGGGTGTAAGTCAGGCTGAGGGACCTCCCTCCCTCCACCCTCTAGTTATGTATATTGCTAATGGTTACTTGATTGGGGGTAACTTATCAGTCTGAGTAAGTTTCCTGTTTTTAGTTGGCTGGGAAGTTGGTTTTTCTTTCTTTAAGGTTCATTTCCTGGTCAGGGCACATACCTGGTTTTGGGCTTGTACATCCCTAGTAGGGGATGTACAGATATTTTTCTCTATCCCTCTCCCTCTAAAAAATAAAAACATATTTTTAAAAATCATAAATAGCTGTTGCACATGTCATCTGCTTTTTATGCATGTTAAAATGATTATTGGATTTTTATTTCAAAGAATAGTTTGATTTTTAAATAGAGAGGAAACAAAAGAAACATTGATGTGAGAGTGCAACATTTATCTGCTGCCTCCTGCATGACCCTCCTTCCCCAAATGGGGATTGAACCGGAATCCAGGCAAGCGACCTGAACAGGAATCAAAGTAGCAAACTTTCAGTGCATGAGATGGCGCCCAACCAAATGGGCCACATCAGCCAGGGCAATCATAGGATTTTAACATGGCATTTTACACTGATTTTTGAATGTTAAATCAACATTGCAGTCAGGGATAAACTTCTCTTGGTCATTTTTGTATATTTAGCACACCAGGTTTGATGTGCTAAATTTATAAGATTTTGCACATATATGCTAACAGGAATATTGGTCTAATTTCCTTTTCTTGTAACATCCTTGATTTGAGCTTGTTATCACAATTATACTCATCTCACAAAATGAGCTGGACAATGTTACCTCATCTATAATTACAGATCGGTATTGTTTCTTCACCAAATGTTTGAAGTGAAGGAAGGGAACCAGTTTCCCCACCCCGATGCTTCCATTTTTGGGAATATTGCTTTTGAGCTGTTTATTAAGAAACAAAAGACTCAGAAAGAACTTTTGACCCTAACCCGTTTCTGTCCAAGAGATTCAAACAGAAACACCTGCTTCAGGAAGGAGATCTCAGAATGTTCTCCTCAGCCTAATTTGAATTGAGCAATGTAAACAAGAGGGCTTCAGGAAGGGCCTGGTAGCTAGACTGACACTGTGTTCCACTGTCTCACAATTGCCTCGCAGGAAGATTCTTGCTGTATGTTCTGCCTCATGCATGTTCCACTCTTCCAGAATCACCCATTCACACTTATGAAACCTAATACCCTGCCTCCTCCTTCTCCGGTGTCTTATGTGAATTCCCCATGCACAGGTATTAAAACTTTGATTTTCTCCTGTTAATCTGTCTCTGTTGATTTAATTATTAGCCCAGCTAGAACTTAGAAGGTGAGAAGGAAGGTATTAATTTAAAAATTTTTTTTTTTGGCTTTAAACAACAGAACTTGATCGTCTCAGGGTTCTGGAAGCCAGAGGCCCAGAATCAGGATGTTGGCAGAGCTGTTTCCTCCTGGCGGCTCTAGGGAGAATGTGTTCAATACCTCTCTTCTAAGTGCTGGTCGTCTCCGACAATCCTTGGTGTTCCTTGACTTGTAGATGTATCCCTCCCATCTCCGTCTTCATCCATCACATGGCCTTCTCCTCGTGTGTGTCTGAGGTATTAATATTGTTTAGCCCCCGCCAAGAATAAAACAGACAGAACAGAATTAAGATAGCAGACTTAAGCCCAAACCTCACAATAATTGCATTAAATGTAAATGGACCAAACACTTCAATTAAAAGCAGTTCGGTAGGGAAAGAAAATTTCAAAAAGTGGAGCTAGAACAAGTGGATATCCACATAGAAAAACAAACAACAAAACCCCCACTAAAACAAAAAACTATAAAAGTTATAGAAGGTAATATGTGAGAAAGTAACTGTACAAGAGTATCTTTCATGACCTTGAGATAAGATTTCCTAAACAGGTAACAGCAAACACTTAAAATGATGAATTTTCTCCTCTAGTCAAGCAACAGGTCAGTAGAAAAAGACGTGTATCAGCTTTAGCCGGGTAGCTCAGTTGGTGAGTGTCATCCCAATACCACAAAGTGGTGGGTAAGATCCCTGGTCAGGGAACATACAAAAATCAACCAACGAATGCGTAAATAAATGTTTCTCTCTTTCTTTCCCCAGGTCTTTGCAAAATCAACAAATAAAATTTTTTTTTTTTTAATTTATCTTTATTGTTGCACTGCCAGCACGGCTCAATGTTATGTCAACCAGGAGGTCACGGTTTGATTCTCACTCAGGACACATGTCCCAACTGTAGGTACAATCCCCAGTGTGAGGTGTGCAGGAGGCAGCAGATTGATGCTTCTCTCTCTTCATTGATGTTTCTATCTCTCTCCCCCTATCTGAAATAAATAAAAATATATTAAACATTTTCTTTCTTGTTTAAAGTATTAGATGTCCCCTTCTCTTCTACTGTAAACATTTTTTAAAAAGGAAAAAAAGCTCCCACATGTATCATATCCAAAATATGATACATATCCAAAATATGTAAAATACTACGAATCAATAATTAAAAAAGCAAACAAACCAATTTTAAAAATGGGGAAAAGACTTGAAGAGCCACTTCACATGACATAGGAATGGCCAATAAGCACATGACAACTGCTAACAGTATAACCACTTTGAAAATTATAATTTTTTATAACAAGAAACACGGAAACCTATGGCCACAAAAAGAATTCAGCAAATGTTAATAGCGCCTGGAAAGTGGGGCTTAGTTGTTGGTTGGGCAACGATCTGTGAACCAGGAGATCACGGTTAGATTCCTGTCAGGGCACATGCCCAGATTGCTTGCTGGATTTCCAGTAGGAGACAGCCAAGCAATGTTGCTCGCCCTGGCTGGTTTGGCTCAGAGTATAGAGTAGGGGTGTCGAACTCAATCAGAGAAGGGGCCAAAATCTAAAATCCAGCCTAAATCGCGGGCCGAATGGTTTACTGAACAGTCGTAAACTGTCATTGTGATGGAAATGCAGCGGAGTGCAGTGATGACAGCGCGGTGGGGGCCACATTGCAAGGCCTGGTGGGACGGATTTGGCCCGCAGGCCTTGTGTTTGACACATGTGGTATAGAGCCTGTGGACTCAAGGGTCCTGGGTTCCACTGCGGCCAAGGGCACATGCCCGGGTTGGGGGCTCGGTCCCCAGTAGGGGGCGTGCAGGAGGCGGCCAGTCAATGTTCTCATCACTGATGTTTCTATCTCTCTTCCTCTCTGAAATAAAACAATACATTTAAAAAACATATATATTAAAAAAAACAATGTTTTTCTTTCATCATTGATGTTTCTATCTCTCCCCTCCTCTCTCTAAAAATCAATAAAATTTATTTAAAAATAGGTATATTTTAAAAAAGAATGTTAATAGTAGCTTTATTCAAAATAACCCCATGAAATCAAGAGGCCATCAAAATGAGAATAAACAATCCAATGTAATTTACTAACTGAAAAGAATCAAAATACTGATACTCTACCCATACATGCAATAATATGGATGAGTTTCACAAAAACCATGCTGAAGAAGCCTGACACCAAGAAGCACACACTGTAGGTGTTACTCCATTTATATTAAGTTCTCTAAACAGAAATAAAAATAAAGGTGAGGTTTTCAGAGATACACTGGGAAGAGGCATGAGAAATTTTTCTGGGACGATGAAAATATTCTATATCGAAAGGCGTTACACTGTGGTTCGATGCCAAAACTCATCTAATTGCAGTGGGTATAAATGGGACCTCAGTTTATTAATAAAAAAGCACATCGGGTACCGCGTAAGTGACTGGAAAAGGACGACCACATATTAGGGGACAAAGATGTGGGGGAAATGGTTAAGCTCGGCCTCGACGAGGTTCTGCCTCTCACGGGCCAACAACTAGCGGGACCAGCGCTGCACTGGGGACCGCGGGGCCGCCCCTTCCGCTTCCGCTTTCACGACGTTCAGGCTGCGTCCGGAGTCGGAATGGTTTAGTCCAAAGCCGGGTACAAGTTTTTTCTCCGCCACAAACGAACCGTCGTTATACACTCTTTCATCGCGTAATTCACAAACGTACTCATTCGCGAAAATACCCAGGGGTTCCCTGTGCACACTTAAAAACAAACAAACAAACAAAACAAACTCTCCCCACGCAATGGTAGCGTCCGCCTAGAAGGTAGTCCCCCAGGGTGGAGCGCACCATTCAAAGAGGGGGAGGGAGAGAGCTTAGCATCAAAACAAAGACACGCCCGTCCTTCCTGAAAGCCGTAATTAAGTAGTCCAGAAAGAAAAAGGAAAAAAAAAAAAGAGGAGAGGGTTATCAGCCTCCCTCCCCAGGTCATCGGAACCAATTTAAAAGACATTCTCTCTCTTTTCCCTTCCCTTTCGTCGGGTAAATATGCTGCTCCGAAGGAAGAAACCGGAAGTGGCACAGTGCAAGGGGCAGACATGTAAATGGAGAGCCAAACAATAACAGGGCTCCTGGACCTCTCAGACCGGGATCTTCCACCTGGATTTCGCGGGCAAACCTTTCCTTTGGCATTTCCCACTTCCACGACTCAGTATTTGATTGGATTTTCTTCGTCTAGCAGAGCCGGTTGGAAACATTATTCCAGGAAGGACAAAGGTCCGGTAGTTATGGGACCTTCCTTAGCAGCGTGGGCTCTCAGATCGCCCCGAATAATCATTTCAGAATGCAATCCCAGATTTCAGTAGGGTATCATGAGCTCTAAACTCTAGAGCCGGCAACATAATTTAATGAATAAGAATAGATCCAGGGACAAATGGCAAGGGGGGGAGGGGGAGGAGAGCAACCAAAGGACTTGTGTGCATGCATATTAGCATAACCAATGGACAGACACTAGGGCAGAGGGGGCATTGCCGGGGTGGGAATGACTGGGGGTGGGGGTAGGGGGTCGATCGGGGGAAAAAGGAGACATGTAACCCTTTAGACAAAGTAAGTAAGTAAGTAAATAAATAAATAAAATCTAGAGCCGGGAGTTCCCGATCCAAAAGTCTCAGGTCGTGTTATTTAACGATTCCCCGCTCCCGGCCCTGGGATGGGGATAGGAATGGGTGGGTGGGGAAGAACCCCTTAGGCCAGCGGAAAGTCTCTCCCCCCCCTACCCCCGCGCCCAGGTGTTCAGGTTCCCCGAAGTTCAACACCCCCCCCCCCCCGTGTTCAGGTTCCTAACATCCTCATTACCTACACCCAGACCTCTCAACAGAGCCGCCAGCCAAGCTTCTCCTCTCCCCGCAACCCCCGGCCGAATCGCCGAGACCCCAGCACCCAGCCTCCCCAGTTGAAAATATTCGGGGTCGAGAGAGCTCATGGGCTCGGAGAGGACTTGTCACACTGTCGGGAGCTTACCGGAGCTTCCGGGGAGCGTATCCCTGTCCTGGGAAGCACCCTCCGAGGCCGGGAGCCAGGGGACCCTGGGGGCCCAGGGGACACCTGCGTCCAGGACGGCGGCTTCGGACTTTTGAGCTCAAAACTTTTAGCGCCAGTTCGGGCACATGGGAGGGGAAAATCCCAATCCCAGCAACCCCCGCGAGACTACTGGCACAAAGCCGGGCAGTGGCCATGACAAGTAAGGGCAAGCAGCGTGCCGGCGGGCGGAGGCTATTGGAGAGGGGGGAAGAGTCCGGGTTCCGCCGTGTGGGTGCTGTAGCTACCGACATTTTGGGATGGGGAAGTTAGACGAGCCAGCGGCGTGAGGGCAGAATTGGTGGAAACCATTTTGGAAGACTCCTGCCATTATATCCGATTGGAAGGTGGAAGGAAGAAAGCCTTTGTACTTGCCGTTCCCTCTGCCTGGAACACCTCTCTCCCAGGTAGCTGGACAGTTTCTTCTCAGCGAAAGCGTCGCCTTTTAGGAAGGCTTTTATTAAGATCCCGATCTGATGTATTCCCCCTATTACTCTGTATCACACCATCTTGCTTTATTTTCTTCACAGCCCTATTACTACCTGAAAATATTTGTTCCTTGCCTTCAAATACACAGCAACGTAAACTTTAGTCTACTGTCTTATTCACTGTTTTATTTCCCAGGGCTTAGTACAGTGCTGGGAAGCAACTAAACGCTCAGTAATAAATGTGTATTTAGTGAATGAAGATACTAAAGTCTGAGGAACTTGGCGAGAAGAAAAAGTTCAAAACCTGTAAAAATCAAGCATGGCGCTAGCGCCCCCTGCAGCTGAGGTGAGAAGCAGGCGCTTTAAGGACGGCCGCGGGAGCTCGCCCTGGCAGACGCCTTCAGATTACAACTCCCAGGAGCCACGGGGAGCCCCACGGCTTCCTGGGAACCCTGAACCCTAGCCCCGCCCCTTCCGCGTTTCTCCCGCGAAATCTGAGCCGAGAGGCGGAGATCCAATCGGAAGGTTGGCCCAGATCTCGCGAGAGTGAGTGGCGCGAAGGGACCAACCCGCGAAGCTCCGCGGTGCTTTCAACGTAGGTGTCCCAGCTACTACTTTTCATTGCCGGGGTCTTCTGCCCCCTCCCGGGAGAAGAAGGGAGGCGCAGGTGGGTCTGTCGGCTTCCGGGATCCTTGTGCATTTGGAAGCGGAGCGGCCGGAGCAGCCTGCTGGCAGCCCGTGGGAAGAGGGCTGCCTGGCCGAGGCCAATGCCTGCCGGGCTTCCTCTGCGGTATGAAGACGTCCGAGGAGCCACCGTTAGCTCCCTACTGCCTGTCTGCAGACAAGGACCCAGCTTCAGCCCGTCTCTCGCCTCAGGCTTCCCCGATGGATAAAAATACGGACCCAGAACTGATGCCACTGACATCCGAAAGGGATGATCCGCCCCCCGTGTCTCCGGATCCCATGGTTGGCTCACCTTTGTCCCGGGAGCTGGAGGAGGGGGACCCAGCTTTTCTCTCCACTTCCCTGGACACAGGGTTTTGCACTCCTAGTGAGTTGAGCCCTGGAATCGAAGAGCAAGAGCTTTCTGAAAATGTGAGCCTTCCTGCAGAGGAGACGAACAGGCCAGATTTGGGGCCCGGAGAAGCCATGGAAGGTGTGTGTGAGGAGCCTGTTCCTGAGGATGAGGGATCCATGTAAGTGGTGACAGCAGTTGACTGAGGAAATCCGAGGACATTGGAAATCTGAGATGCATGGAAGTGTGAGATATATACCTTATCCTCCAGTCCTCAGTCCCAATTCTCCAGGCCTATTTCCTCTTTGCTTTGGCGACTCAGGTTTCTGTCCCCCATCTTCCTTCCAGCACTTGGAGCTACAGCTTCTCCCAGCTACCTCAGTTCCTCAGTGGTTCCTGGTCAGAGTTCAGCACCCAGCCTGAGAACTTCTTGAAAGGCTGTAAGTGGTAAGGAAAATGGGGCAGGGAGATAAACACACCTTCAAATACCCCATTTCTCTGGGAGAAGGATTCACCAGAGGTGGGAGTAGGAGTAAGAATCCCTCTTGGACAGACTTCACTTTCCCCTAGAATTTTGTCTTCTACTTCCCTCAGGTCTCGGAGGGGCTTTACTCCCTAGACGTAGGCTCAGCCCTAGCCCTACACTTGGAAAATGTTGGTCTGTCAAGCTTTCTAACTTTTGCCTACTCCTAGGGCCCCTGATGGTTCCTGCATCTTGACCAATAGTGCTGATAACATCCTGCGGATTTATAACCTACCCCCAGAGATGTACAATGAAGGGAAACAGCTGGAATATGCAGAAATGGTAAGGATAAGGGCTAAACCAGCCTCTTCACCAGACACTGAACATCTCCATCATGAATTTCCATAGGTAGCATTTTTTACCCTAAATTCTGAAGTCCTTTATTATTATTATTATTATTATTATTATTTAATATATTTTATTGATTTTGTACAGAGAGGAAGGGAGAGAGATAGAGAGCTAGAAACATCGATGAGAGAGAGAGTCATCGACCAGCTGCCTCTTGCACACCCCCCACCGGGGACATGCCCGCAACTAAGGCACATGTCCCTGACCGGGATCGAACCCGGGACCTTTCAGTCCCCAAGCCGACGCTCTATCCATTGAGCCAAACCGGTCTCGGCTGAAGTCCTTTATTATTTTTTAAAAAAATTGATTTGAGAGAGAAAGAAAGAAACATCTGTTTGTTGTTCTACTTAATTATGCATGCAACCTTACTGGGATTGAACCTGCAACCTTGGTGTTGGGAGGACGCTGTACCCAATTGAACTAGGGTATCAAGTCATTTAAAGAGATGTTTGTCCCCTCTTTAGTCAGGAATATGTGTGTTCCATAAAAGAGTAGTGAATTTCTAGTGACAGTACTTAATTGACTTACAGATTTTTTATTTTTAAAATTTTATTTTGTTTCTTTTCTTTTCTTTTTTAAGGAAGGGAGGGGGAGAGAGAGGTTGAAACATCAAGGATGAAAGAGAATTATTGATTGGCTGCCTTCACATCCTCCCTTTGGGGATCAAGAATCAAACATGGGACCCTCCATTCCACAGGCAGACACTATCCACTGAACCAAACCAGCTAGGGCTGACATTTTATTTTAGTAGTATTTTATTTTTTGTTAATCCTCACTAGAGGATATTTTTCCATTGATTTTTAGAGAGAGTAGAGGGAGAGAGACAGAGAGAAACATCAATATGTCGATTGGTTGCCTCCCACATGGGGATTGAGCCTGCAACTGAGATATGTGCCCTTGACTGGAATTGAACCTGGGGCCCTGCATACCTCAGGTTGATTGATCATCCCTATCCAAACTAGCTAGAGCCAGGTTTTTTTTTGAGAGTACATTTATTAAAGCTGGGCACAATGAAACAAGGAAGGGCTTAGGATAGAAGAAGCAACAGGAGGGAGCCTAGGCGGGGCTGCTGTGGCTCTGTAGAAATGTTATAAGATAGAAATGGCGCCCTAACCGGTGTGGCTCAGTGGATAGAGCGTTGGCCTGCGAACTGAAGGGTTGCAGGTTCAATTCTGGTCAAGGGCTTATGCCTGGGTTGCAGGCTCAATCCCCAGTAGGGGTCATGCAGGAGGCAGCCAATCAGTAATTCTCATCATTGATATTTTTCTCTCTCTCTCTCTCCCTCTCCCTTCCTCTGTGAAATCAATAAAAATATATTTTAGAAAAAGAAAAAGAAAAAAAAAACAAAAAACGGTGCTAGGCAGGGCTGCCTTGGCTCACTGGAAAGTCAGAGAAAAGGAACCTTGGAGACAGGTTGAACTGCCGCTGCCCATTGCTCCCCTGGTTGCAAGTCTTGTGGGGAAGCTTAGTGTTTAGGAGATGCATGCCTGAGAAGGAAGAAAGGTGTGGGCATGCTCCTGAGAGGGAGAGTGCCGACAAATATTTATTAAATGATTACCAATATATCAGTTACTGTGTGGTGCTGGGATAAAGTGAATGAGACAGATGAGCTGATTTGCTTTCTTGTTTGGGAGATAGACACAAACCTGCAAACCAATAAATAATCAAGTTCATTATGAATTATAATAAATGTAATGAAGGAAGTAAACAGACTGAGGAGAGAATAACGAGAAGATACCATGGAGATAAAATCGTCTGGGAGCCTTGGCTGGTTTGGCTCAGTGGATAGAGTGTCAGCCTGCGAACTAAAAGGTCCCAGGCTTGATTCCGGTCAAGGGCACATGCCTGGGTTGTGGGCTCCATCCCCCGTGAGGGACTTGGAAGAGGCAGCCGATCCATGAATCTCTCCCATCGTGGATGTTTATATCTCTCTTCTTCCTTCGTCTCTGAAATCAATAAAAATATAATTTAAAAAAATGGTCTCCTCTGAAAAGAAAAGGAGACTTGTAAACTGAGAACTGAATGATTATGAGATCAGTCATGTGAAGAGCTGTAGAAAGAACATTCTGGGGAGAGGCAGTGATCTTCCAAAACCAAGATCTGGGAAAGAAGAGCAGAAAAAAGACTGATGCACCTGGACTGAGGCCAGTGAGAGGGGAAGCGTGCTGGTTATGGAGAGATGGCCAGTAGCCACGTTGTCAGATCTTGTCAGTAAGGCGTTTGGAGTTTGTTTGGGAAGCCATGTAGAGTTTTAAAACAGAAGAGTAAAATGATGGCTGAATTTTAGAGAATGGATTGTGGGTGGGCAACAGTGAAATCAGGAAGACTCATTAGGATGCATTTTTCATGGTCCAGGCAGGAAATGATGTTGCTTGGGCTAGGGTATCAGGATAGATGGGGAGATGTGGGTGGATTTGAAGTATATTTTGTAGGATTTGGAGGTCAGTTGGATGTAGAATTGCAGGGAAGGAAGCAGTCAAGTGTGGTGTCCAGGTTTTGCTGCCAGATGGATGGTATGGTTTACTCAGAGCAGGAAACAGGGATATAAAAAGGTATTGGGACAAGTTAGGAGTTTTTAGGTACATTAAATTTGAAATGTAAAACTAAGGGGAGAAATTGGGGCTAGGGATATACTTTGAGGAGTGGGAGAGCATGTAGATAGTATGTCGTGTCTTGAGAATGGATTCAGTCCCAGAGAGAGTGTAGATGGAGAAGGAGAAGGCGCAGGCAGAGCTCTGGGCATCCCAGCATATGGAGGAGGGGTGCGGAAGAAATTACAAAAATGGAGGCAGAGTTATGCCAAATGCTGTTGAAGTGAGGCAGGTTTAGAGAATAACCCAAGAAGACATTAGTGATCCTGACAAGAGTACTGTCAGAGGAGTGATGGAGGCAAAAGACGATTAGAGTGGGTGGGAAAGGAAAAATAGAAAAATTAGCGTGGTTATGCATCTTTCCCCAGCAAGTTATTGGTCATCTGAGTTTGTAAAATGAGGATGATGAAAATAACACTCACCTCACATAGCTGTGAAAATTAAAAGAATTAAAGTGCTTAAAACAGTGCCTGACCTATAGTAAGCACTAAGTAGTCACTGATATTAGTTGAGTGCAAATATGGAGAATAGTCTGGTTGGGGTTTCTCAGGGGAGGAAGACAAGGGTGTCTTTTAAAAATATATATGTTTTTATTGATATTTACTTTTTTAATTTAAAAAATATATATTTTATTTATTTTTTACAGAGAGGAAGAAAGAGGGATAGAGAGTTAGAAACATCAATGAGAGAGAATCATCAATCAGCTGCCTCTTGCACACCCCCTACTGGGAATGTGCCCACAACCAAGGTACATGCCCTTGACTGGAATCAAACCTGGGACCTTTCAGTCCACAGGCCGACGCTCTATCCACTGAGCCAAACCGGTTTCGGCATGTTTTTATTGATATTTAGAGAGAGAGGAAGGGAGAGGGATAGAGAGATAGAAACATAAATAAGAGAGAAACAGCAACGTTGATCGGCTGCCTCCTGCACCCCTACTGGGGATCGATCCCACAACCTAGGCATGTGCCCTGACTGGGAATGGAACCAGTGACCTCTTAGTTTGTGGGTTGATGCTCAACCACTGAGCTACACCAGCCATGATGTAAATATATTGTTGATGAAGCAGATTAATTGTGGTAGAAATGGCAGAGCAAGCGAGCAGGATGGGTTGGAGATGGTAGCCAGAGACTGTGGTGGTGACAAGGCCCAGGACTCAATTATGGTGTCAGTTATAGCTGTGGGTGCTGAGGAGGTGAAGGAATGGGAAAGGCCATGATATTGGATGGATGTATCATTCTTTCATTGATTCATTTATTCAACACTGTTCTGTTTTGTTTTTTAGTACATTCTATGTACCAGGCCCTGTTTTAGAAGCTGAGGATTAGTCAAACAGAAACAGGCAAAAGTCCCTGTCCTTGTGACACTTATATTCTAGTGTGGGAATAGGCAACTAAAAAAAATAACAAAGTAAAACATATATGTAGTAATTGGACTAGCGTGGTGTCAAGAGAGATGGAGGGATGTGGATGCATTTGAAGTGTATTTTGTAGTACTTGGAGGGCAATTGAATGTGGAGGTGAAGGAAAAAAAGCAGTCAAGGATTATGTTCACGTAATTTTTTTAATCCTCATCAGAAGATTCATTGGTTTTAGAGAGAGAGGAAGGGAGAGAGAGAGAAACTTCAATGAGAGAGAAAAACCTATACTTGCCCAGCCTGTGGATCAAACCCACAACTAGGTAGGTTCCCTGACTGGGAATTGAACCCGCAACCTTCGGGTGTATAGGATGACACTACCACCAACTGAGCTACCCAGCCAGAGCTGACCTTACTATTTAGATGACATTTGAGCAGAGATGTGAAGGAAGGAAGAGAGTGAACCAAGCTGATGTTTTGGGAAAGAATACAATGGGCAGAGAGAATAGCAAGTTCAAAGTCCCAGTGGAAGTGAAAGTCACCAAGAATAACAGGAGTATTTATAGGAAGTGAGACAATAAACCAGGAGATAAAGTCTCAGTGAATGAGGGAAGATGACAAAAAGTGGGGAGCTAGACTGATGGCAAGAACTGGAGAGAAGCTAGAGTTTGGAGCAGTGGAAAGACTTAGAAATTACAGTGGGGAGCACAGTTGACACCCACCTCCTGTCCTGTATTGGGGAGAGGGGGTGAGAATTAAAGAAAAGCCTAGTAGAAAAATGAACAAAAATTATGAAAAGGCATACTTAAATTGCTAATAAACAGATAAATGTCTCCAAAAACCCCACATAAATAAATGTCTAACCTCAGTAGTATGAAGGAAATGCCAATTTATACCATTTCACAGCCTTCAAACTGAGAAAAATGTAAGGCTGGCAATAGCAGCAGGATGCAGAGCAACAGGCACTCTCATGCAGTCGGTGGAAGAGTGAATTGGGTTGAGCCCTTTGGGAAAAATGTGACATTACCTGGCAGAGTTGGCAAAGTACATGCCATTGAGCCCAACAACTTTCCTTGTTAGCAGAAGCTACAGAGAAACCCACCCTCTCACAGGTGTACCAGAATGTTAAAAAGCACACTAGCTAAAAAATGGAAAGACATCAGTGATTGTCGATAGAAAAGGAGAGCTGAGTGAAGTACTCTACCGCAGTGAACATGCACGAATTAGCGCCAAATGTGTCACCATAGCTAAATCTCACAATCACAACCAGTGTGATATCATTAATATTAAGTTTACATTGTTTTTTCTTTTAATACATTTTTATTGATTTCAGAGGGGGACAGAGAGAGAGAGAAACATCAGTGATTTTATTGATTTCAGAGGGGAACAGAGAGAGAATCATTGATGGGTTGCTTCCTGATGCCTCCCTCTGAGAATCAAGCCTGCAACCCTTGACTGGAATTGAACCTGGGACCCTTCAGTCCGTAGGCAGACACTCTATCCGATGAGCCAAATCAGTTAGGGCTACATTGTTTTTCCTTTGTATAAATATACAGGCAGTCCTCGGGTTTCTTCGAACTGGATATAAATCGTTTCATGGTTATGTCACCATCTCCCATTTATTTATTAAGAAAAAAAGTTCTGTCATTTTGACATATGTACATATGTGCTTTATGCTTTTTTATTATTTATTTACCACAAGTAAAGGTCAGGAATTGTTATCTTTAAAAAATTTTTTTTTCCTGTTTCACTTCATTGCTGCTGTGTATGTGCTCCATGTGAGTGACATAGGTGCTTATATAGGTGGGTTCCAACTTACGGTGAAAATTGTGTACGTCATGCCATAGGAAGGGATCTCCGATGTAACCCGAGGACCTACTGAATTCCTAAAGAAATTCATGAGGTTGGCAAATTCAGGATAGTGTTTAACTCTGAGGGAAGGTTTCATTGGGCTGAAATTTTAACTGTTTTGTATATTTTATTTCTTAAGCTGGGTGAAAGAGTTACAGTTTTTTTTTTTATTAATACTTTGCATATTTGAATTATTTAATTTTTTAATTTTGATTTTTTTTGTTAACCCTCTCCTTAGGATATTTTCCATTGATTAAAAAAAAGTAAATATGCCGAAACCGGTTTGGCTTGTACCTTGGTTGCGGGCATATCCCCAGTAGGGGGTGTGCAAGAGGCAGCTGATCGATGACTCTCTCTCATTGATGTTTCTAACTCTGTATCTCTCTCCCTTCCTCTCTGTACAAAATCAATAAAATATATTAAAAATGCAGATTTCTGTATGGAACTCCCAGATTCCAGAAAGGGTCAGGAATCTGTATTTAAAAAAAAAAAAAAAAAAAAAAAAAGTAAATATGTGATTTTAGCCCAGCCAGTGTGGTTCAGTGATTGAGCATCGACCTATGTTTTTATTGATTTTTAGAGAGAGAGAAAAGGAGAGGCATTGAGAGAGACACACATCAATGAGAGGGGAACATCATTGGCTAGTTGTTTCCTTTACACCCCGCACTGGGAATTGAGCCAGTAACCCAGGCATGTGTCCTGACCAGGAATTGAACAGCTGACATCTTGGTTTTTGGGTCAGCATCCAACTACTGAGCTAGAGACAGAGAGAGAGCGAGAGAGCGAGAGAGCGAGAAAGAAAGAAAGAAAGAAAGAAAGAAAGAGATAAACATTGATGTGAGAGAGACACATTGATTGGTTGCCTCCCAAAAGTGGCCTGGCTATATGAGCCCAGAACTGAGGCCAGGATCAAGCCTTCAACCAAGGTACATGCCCTTGACCAGAACCAAACCCGGTGCCCTTCAGTCCTTGGGCCAGTGCTCTATCCACTGAACTGGCTAGGGCTGTTTAATTATTTAAGGCCTCAAGTGGCACCTAGTAGATGCTTAGTAAATATGCGTATCATTGCCTTAGCTGGTTTGGCTCAGTGGGCAGATTGTCAGTCTGTGGACTGAAAGGTCCCAGTTTCGATTCCGGTCAAGGGCATGTACATTGGTTGTGGGCACATCCCTAATAGGAGGTGTGCGGGAGGCAGCTGATCGAGGTTTCTCTCTCATCAATGTTTCTAACTTTCTATCTCTCTCCCTTCCTCTCAATAAAAAAATCAATAAAATATACATTTTTTACAAAAAAGAAAAGAACATCGGCCTGTGAACTGATGGGTCCCGGGTTTGATTCCGGTCAAGGGCACATGCCCGGTTGTGGGCTCGATCCCCAGGAGGGGGCATGCAGGAGGCAACTGATCAATGATTCTCTCTCAACATGGATGTTTCTATCTCCCTCTTTCTTCCTCTCTGAAACCAATAAAAAAAATGAAATACTATGCATATTATTGGTTGGTTCTTTGTTGGCACGTTATTTATTTTTTCTTCTCTGAGTGTTTAAAAAGCAAAGGATGAATGTGTATGACTTTTGGTGGCCCACGTCTGACATTAACGTATGAGCTGACCTTTGAATGTTGAGATAAAGATTCTGTTCTTCATATTGACCCCATCTGCCCTCTCCTGCCTGGCTAAATGATGACACATGGTCTCCCTCTGCCGTAAAGCTGCTGGAGGTCCAAGATGCCTCCCTTCCCTGCCAGTGACCTAGGCATTCCATCTCTGTCCAGGTCCCCGTCCTTCGGATGGTGGAAGGCGACACCATCTATGATTACTGCTGGTATTCTCTGATGTCTTCCAACCAGCCAGACACCTCCTAGTAAGTGAAGTCCTCTGCCTCTGCTACCCCCACCCCCAACCCCCAAACAGTTTCAAGGGGATCCTCTACCGAGAATCAAGGGCTGCCCAGGGATTCTGGGGGGAGGAAGCTGGGTGTGCCCTTCAGGTGCGAGGTCTGAAGGCCGGTCAGTTGGCTTCCCACCCTGGTAGCAGCAGGGGCTCAGTGTCCTTGTTGTTCTCAGCGTGGCCAGCAGCAGCCGGGAGAACCCAATTCACATCTGGGATGCATTCACCGGAGAGCTCCGGGCTTCCTTTCGCGCCTACAACCACCTGGTAGGGACTCCCGCCCAGCCCCGGCTTGTCCTGGCCCAGCTTTCCCTCCGTGAGGACGGGTGACGTGCTTTACGAGGCCTGTTTTTGTCCTCCCAGGATGAGCTGACGGCAGCTCACTCACTCTGCTTCTCCCCGGACGGCTCCCAGCTCTTCTGTGGCTTCAACCGGACCGTGCGTGTCTTTTCCACGGCCCGGCCCGGCCGTGACTGTGA